TAAAAAGATAATTATTAATAAAACTTGTAACATAATTTTTCACGACCTTATATTTATTTTTTTTTTTAAAAAAAACCCGAGTCATTATTGAATTTGACCGATTAATTTCACGTTCTTAGCTTGATTTTTGCAAATGAGTTTTAATTCTGAAGAATTTAGTAGTATCGCATGGGATACGAGCGCCACAGATTCTTTCCAACCTGAGAATATATCGGACGAAGAGGTATCCAAAGTTACAACAGAAAGTATCGACGAGATTTCAACTTATAACGATGACGCTATGTTCTCGGTATGCTTCTTTTTTTTTTCTATTTTTTATATGAGCCATGAATAAGCAAGTATGTTACTTGTTAATAGGTTAGGTCAGGCAATGAAGTGAAAAGGTCATGAATTCAAGTAACAAATCCTAAAATTTCCTTACCTTTATATATGAAAACAGACTTTGGCTTCGTCGCTTAATTATCCTGTTACAAACTCTATGAATCCTGACCAGCTATCACATTCGTCTGGAAATAATAATACGGTGATATCTAATACATTTCCTATGACAATTACAGTCACAGAACCATTAAAAGAGTTTGATGGAACTAAGGATGCATTCATTTCTTATCTAATAACGACAAAGGTACGATAAAAAAAACAATAATAAAATTCATATAACAAATTGATATACCAACTAAGAATTATATTACATTATATTCTTAAGACAACTTTGGATACATTTTCCTCACCCACTGTGAGCGTTCGAAGAAGATTTCAGGATTTTGTTTGGTTACATAGTTCTCTTTCGCGAGATTTCGCCGCGTGTGTAGTGCCACCCTTGCCTGACAGGCATCGAATGGGTGAGAATATATATTCGAATGTTCGTGACGTGTTAAATATAACTTCAAATTAAACGTGTTTATACTTATTTTATATATCAGAATATATAACTGGTGATAGGTTTGGGTCAGAATTTGTGGAAAAACGACGTGCAAGGTATATAGAATAAATCATTTATAATTAATATTTGTGGATGATTTTATAAATGCTTCGTATAAAATAACATTATATTTAATATTAAATAGTCTTCAAAGGTTCTTGGGAAGATTAAGTCGTCACCCTACTTTGCAAAAGAGTGATTACTTTAGGTTATTTCTGGAATCAAGAGAATGGGTAATTTGATATCATGCGATTACTTGGTATCATATTATAATATTTTAAAATATTTATTTTATATATATTTTTTTTATATAGAATAGAGAATCTGCTTTATATAGACAAAAGAAAACTGGAGATGGTGTTTTTGAAAACTTGGGAGATGCTTTACTTAATGCATTTTCTAAACTTAAGAAACCAGATGAAAAATTTCTTGAAATTAAAGAAGGTGTTGACAAACTTGAAGAAAACTTGCAAACTATTGATAGATTACATCAGAGGATTATTAAACGGCAAACTGGTAATTGTTATAAACGGTATTATATTAATTTAATACTATGATATGTTGATTTCTTATTATATAAACTTTTTTAAGACTTGGAAGCAGATTATAGAGATTTCGGTTCAAGTATAGCAGGATTAGGTCAATTAGAGACCGGAGTTACTGACCCTCTTGAACAATTTGGTGAAACGGTTTCCAAATTTGCTGATGCATGGAAACGAATGGTTTGACATTCTTTAATAGCTCATTATAATGGAGATTTGCAAATTTTATTAATC